AGCTTAGTCTCTTACCTTAGTTAAAAGCAAAAACAAGCAATACACAAATATTAGGAAGAAAGAACATTCAAAGCCCAGATTTTTTTTAAAGGCAATGCTGGTTAAGTGTGTAACATGTATTGTCTAATTTTGGAGATTTCATTTTCCAGTCCATGTTCATTTTTTAAAACATACAATTGTGACTGAAATAAAACGTAACTAAACTAGTTTTTTTTTTTTAAATAGCTCTAAACAATATTTAAAATGCCTTTAATCTTCATTCCTGCCTTCATTTTCGACATTAGATTCTGAAGTAGCCTATTTCATTACACTCCACTACTGTAAACACTGTATTATAAATGATTTGATATGCTGCCCAATAACAGTATCACCCAGTCCAACTTTAAATTATTACGCTGGCTAACATTTCTCAATGTAACTTAGCTAAATGGGCGCATGTCGTATGTTTCTTACAACAAAAGAAGACAGGTTCTTAGAAATCATCTCTGAGTTAGGAAGAAATGTCTCCTTTATAATATCAAAAGCAACACCAACACCATGTTTGTAAGTGATTGGGGTGCTTTAGAGAGCGAAAATACAGACCGCGCTTTCTTTCTAAACTTATCGACCGTTTGATATCACGGACCACAGCTCGCCATTATCTCAATGGAATCTCCTTAAAATTACTCATTACATTAATGTAACATCAGTTTTAATCTTGTATGACACCTAACTCTCTGACTGACACATGTCTGTTGTTGGCACAGCTACAGGTACGTAGCCTACGATATCTCAGCGATTAAAGGTCGCGGAAGATAGATGTATTTAAAAGATCAGTCAGTACTAAAAACACGCATAAATACAAATGTGGCCGTTATTACAATATATGAATGTATAAGTATGTTTGTAAACATCGCACTGTGAAACGAACTCACCTTAGGTTTCTGTCAGTGTGCCTCTTCCACTTCCAATGATCTTTTCTGTTAAATATTGTAGCCTAAAAAAAAAACAGCTGGCAAACGCACTGCACCGACAGGTTCAACAGCAAGACTTAACTACATTTACATTTCCCGTAAATAGGCCACGAGTACAGCTGCGAAAAACCCTGGTAGTCTACTCACAACAGATTTCTAGCTGGGATTCACCTTGAAACGTCACTGAATAGGTGCATTGTTAATTATTAAGAGCCCGCGTGAGCTGATACAGGAAGCGTCAGATTCAAAAGAGCTCAGATAAAACGATTTTGCCAGAGTAATCACTGTATTCACTGACTTGAGAGTTTTTGAAAATGATTACACATCACTTTTAGATTCCCATAATCTATGGAAATACAATTGTGCCTAGCACTGAAGAAAAATAATATAGTAGCTAGTGGTTATGCAAAGCATCGAGTGTTTTCTTTATTAACAAAATATAGCCTATTCACAATACAACAAGGCATGTTCCATTTTGCTTTTTATAAACCTTAGAGAAAAAAACCCTAAACATTTATTATATTTGAAATATATTAAATGTATATTGCAAATATACTAACAAAAAATGTACTATCTTTAAATACATTAAAAGAGAATTAGCATCATGCTTTTACCTATTTTCACAATACAACTTTTAACACTTAAATAATTGTACTTTAGCATATTTTTCTAAAAATATATTTTAAAAAATATATACTTGAAGTGAAAATTCAGTTTATTTTTTAAAAGTGTATTTATTTGCACTTTATTAAACATATTTTAGGTATATTTTAACTGTGTGCTGGACTTTGATCATTGTAACAATGCATTGAAAGTAAACTTTCAAAATACATAGCCTACATCAGGGATGGGCAACTTCAGTCCTGGGGGCCATTGTCCTACAGAGTTTAGCTTCAACCCTAATCAAACACCTGAACAAGCTAATCAAGGTCCTCGGGATTACTAGAAAGTTACAGGCAGGTGATTTTTTCAGGGTTGGAGCTAAACTGGCCTCCAGGACCGACGTTGCCCATCCCTGCTATACATACTGTAGTATAGCTTTTATTTATCTAACGTACATTTGTTATTGAAGACAAAGTATGCAATTTGTAGTATTTATAATGAGCCTTGTAGAATAAGGTATTAATGAGCCTATAGTTTTTACTCAAATATTTCACACCACGATAGCCTCGTGGGCAAGTGTGCCCGGCTCGTGGATCTTTACTGGTCCGATCCATCCCGTTTCTTAATATGCGTTCTTGGGTTCTTGTCTGTACTTGTGTTGTTCCAAATCAAAGTTCACATCTAGCCAAATCCTGTTCAAATCCCCGGATGTGTTCTTGATCCGCCCCTTTTACCGAGGAGGCATTGAGAGGTGACTTGCTTGTGTGGACTTGATACCATAGACAGTATAAGAAAGCTTGATACTAGATACTAGACACATGCTTGAGACAGCCAGGTATACCAGAATGCATCTCGCACCAACCAGCAAGCGTCAATAGAAGATTAGAAAACCCACGTAATTTAAAAATGCTACTGTTATGTCACGAAATGTAGTTTTAAGAGTTTTTCAGGCGAGAATGTAGTTGTTTAAAGGTCAAATCTTTGATTTATTTATAAAGATAGCGCCTATTTGAAAATTTGATCTGACGTTTTCGGAGTTGTGAGATCCAGGCGATCACTGGGGGCTCAGCGCTCATGTGCCCCGCCGAGAACAGCCTTTCCTCGGCTAGTCCTTGCCACTGGCTCGGATGTCTGTCTTGGTTATACATGAGATATAAATCGGCTTGTGTATATCTAACTGCCGATTTTTTGTCTCATTAATATCATTTGTTCCTTGACGAAACGTTTTGTATAGCTTCTTATAGGCTACCTCTTAGGCTACTTATACTTTTATAATGGCTATTATTGATCATTAAAACTGACATTTAACAAAAAAGGGTTGTGTCATTTTATTGTATATATTTAAAACATATAAAATATTTTATATATTTATTTTATTATACATGTTGCCTACATTCTCTTCACTGTATGTAGGCCTACATAATAAAATAAAATGACACAGCTAATTGTTCGTTTTAATGATCAAAATTATAATGTTTTTTATGTATCATATTTTTAAAATGAAAACAAAAAGAGTCAGGGTTGTGTTTTATATTTTGTGTTGTTATGCAGTGAAGATAATCAATTGCGTTGCCTGGACCACATTTGTGTGGCCATTAGCCTATGTTTAATATTTTTGAAAATGAAAGTTGCACACGGCAGAGTGGTGTTTTATAACATATTTTGTTTTATTGTAGTCTGAAATATGTAAAGAGATGACCGGAGAGCCAGAGCGAGCTGAGTGACGCTATCAAGAACGCCGCTGTTCCATTTGCAGAATTATCGGACTTGCGTCCTCCCGTCCTCGGGAGTTCGTTGTCAAGTCAACTAAGGAGGACTCGACTCCTTGCGTACACCGAAGTTTGCGTACTTGGTATTGAGAAACGGCTAGCTACTGTCCTATCCTAATAAAAGGCGAAAACGCCAAAAATATATATTTTTTAAATAAAATAAATATATATATATATAAATACACTTATGGTATAGGCCTATTGCTTGTATGTTTCGAATACACTCATAATGATTATGTAATGTACTTGTAACACAAATAAAGTACACTTGAATATCAATTAAGCATGTAATTAGTCCCCAGGCATATAGCCTATTTAAAGTATACTAAATATACTTGAAGTTGTTCCAATTTAGCACACAAAAGTACTCTAAATACACTTAAAGTATGCTTTACTACAATTTAATTACAACTAAAATATACTTAGTATAAAATTAGTTGTTTCAAAATAGCACACTTCAAGTTAACTAATCATTAACACACTTGAAGTATACTGATAATTAGTCTGGCTGCCAGTATACTTAGCATATAATATTTTTCACCAGGGAATGATTAGTTGTTTATATATTCTAGTAAGTTGCTATGCAACAAAAAAATAATTATCTGCTTTATCTTGAACTGGGAAGTTGTATTGACCAATCAGAACTCTGTCGGTTCAAATCTAGATTAAAAACACATCTCTTTGACCTAGCATACACATAACACATTATACAATTCTACAATTCAATGTTAGGCTGCATAGATTAGGTCAGCCGGAACCGGCGGGAACACATCCCATAAATCCTGATGTAGGCTACTTGTTACATCATAAGAAGGATGGTGTCTATGCTAATATTAGTCTCTCTGTTTATCCCGAGGTTTACCGCAGTCTGCCGGATCCAGGCCGTATCTGGATCTGATGAAGGACCTGCGCCTGGACACGACGACAACGCAGTCCTGAAGTGTCAAGTAGTCTCTCCCCTGTGAAGGTCTCCTTCCCTTCCCTTTACCTCTGTACAGATAAAACGTTGTCGGCATAATTCCGGTTCACGTGGCTATACGCAGAAGCGATAAAAAATTCTGTATTATGAATTTTTCAAGGCTTGTACCTTGAAACCTATTTCATGGTTTGCGTTCTCGGGCCACCAGGCACTGTTTTGTGCAAATGAGCGGCCGGATCGCATTAAGGGTTTTCTGTTAGAACGGTGTCGTGTTAGCGGCCCCTAAGTTAATAACTAATGATCATTGAGACGGAAGTGAATCAATCAAAACTAACTTTAGCTAGACAATAACTTTATTCTAGAGCTGCTGTAAAGCTAAAACAATCTCTGTTACTTTTATTTCCTATTATCACTGTAAAGATGCTTTTAAACAATCTATATTGTTAAAAGCGCTATATAAATGAAGGTGACTTGACTTGACTTGACAGAAGCCAATCAGTTGTGAATTGCATCTACATGGAAACTTTGTGTACGTCTCTTTCTGTTAATTTGTAACTAAATGGATGTGTAAACATTAATGTTTGATTTATTTCAGCTGCATGTTTTTGCTTGAACCATTGCCTTTTACTCCCTCTGAATTAGAGCAAATGCAAATACTATTCAAAGAACCTATTCTTCCACTGATAAAAGCCTTACAGGTTTACACGTGTCTTTTCAAGTATACATGAAAGTGAAAGTAAGTTCCCTGGCTTGTAAAGCTCCTTTGAGAAGAAAGGGAGGGACATTCCCTGAAAAGGTTTCAGGTAAGAGCTACACATTATTTACTTGTTATTTACATGTTTTGTGTTTTTTTTTAGAGACGACACTAAAACGATTTTAATCATTTGTCGGTGAGATTAAGAGATAGCATTTGATTTCTCCATTTAAAAGAACTGACAACCCTTACTTATTTTTCATTCATGGTTTTCATGTTTACTGTAGGCTATCATAATTCTTCTATTCACAACTGTATATTTTTTTTATAATTCGTCTTTTGAAAGTTTAGTTACTCATTGGGTTAGTAACGAGGAAGAGTGTTTGTTTTTTGCAGGTGGAAAATGCTTGTTGTTTTCCTATGAGTGAATGACTTCCCAGTATTATAAAATCACTATCTGCATGATAATAGTAGCTTATAAGATAAAGCACCATATTAAAATGCCTTGAACGGCTGATGTTGCATAATATATATTACTTTCATAAGATATTCTGACTTTTCTTTTCTCATGTATTGTACAGAGTTGTTTAATAGCCGCTTGGATTAACAATGGCAAAATCTCCCACTTCTGGCAAGTAGCCTATATCAATGTCATTTACATGAAATTGAATAGAATTGAATAAATACAGTAGCAGAGAATGTTTTATTGCAACATGGCTGGGCAAGTGGAAATTGCTGTGGGTACTATGCAAAATACAAGGAACAATTTGTAAAAGTGCAAGTGTGTGATTGTACAATTCTTCTAAAGCTGAGAAATACAACATTCATGTCAAAATGAGGGAAAGCACTTTAAAATAAAATATCAATCACCATCAATGATGTTACATACTTACATATATTATTATACAGTAGCCTATTAACACATCCATAATATTGGTGCTAAATGATTCATCTGAGCTTTTGGGGTTATGCATTGTCTGCTGCATTGTCTTTACCCTTTTAAGTGTCCTTTTGATATTCAATGGTTGAGAAGGGAGGAGAATAATGCTGTGTTGGTTTAATACATCTCTCATTTTTAGAAGGAAAAAATGATTGTTGATTTTGTGCAGTATAGATTTTATAATATTTTCTATGTTTGCACAGTGAAAGACATCTTTCGCAGGTTTTCCTCGATCAGAAAAAGCAAAAAGAAGACATTTGAAATCAACGACACAAAGATCCCTCTAAAGCCATGCACAGGTAAATATCTAGTCCATTTGTTGTGGTGGTAATGAAGGCACAAGTAATGCATAGTGCTCTATATGATATTATTCATAGCAACACTCTTTCTCATTGCCGCTTTGTTTTCACAACAGTTTTGCAGATCACAGATTATATACAAAAAGATATGCTGAAGGAGGCCTATCTGAACCTGCTCTCCATGCACCGCCTGGAGCTCCAGAAAGAATTGAAAGCTGTGGGTGAAGGAGCTCCTCCCACAAATCAAGTTCCTAAAGAGACAGATGTCAATAATCTATTTGTGACTCTAAGGAACAAAATGTCTGTCATTGTACGCAACTCCAGTGCTCTGCCCTTGCGCAATAAAGAGCTGCTGGTGTGTGTTGCACAAATCATCCTGGAGGAAGAGAAGAGACAGGGAGAACCAGGAGCGATGCCGGGATGGAGGGAAGCATGGAGGGATGCAGTACGAGACGGGGTTCGAGATGCTCTGAAGAAAGTTCAGCTGGACAGCCGCGAGCAGAACGCTTCCTGGTTGGCAGTGCATCTGGGGCTTCTGGGTAAAGCTGTGGTGGAGGATTTGGAGAGAGTGAAGACTGAACTTCTGAGCTCATATCCAGCAGACTTTAAAGTGTTTGAAACCTATGTGTCCTGCCATCATGAGGCTGTAGGAGAGCATTTGAAGAGACTTCTGGAAAAGGTGACAGAGCTGAAAGATTACCATGCTCTTCTAGATTTCATTATTCATCACTACCCAAGGTGAGCTTTTTAAAACACATCACACAAATGTCTAAATGGCACTTCATTGCATAATTCAGTTTAAATGAAATGGTATCTCATTGGTGTTCCACAGTGATCTGAGAGACAAGCAGAGAATTCTTATAGTGGAAGAAGACTTGCTAAATAATATAAAGACCTCTTACTGTCATTGCCAAATGGTGAGCTACTGCAAGGAAAGAGTTTTAGCATTCTAGGTTAAAGGTACACTATGTAACATTAGGGCCAGTTAAAAAAAAGCAAGTATTTAGCGAAACAACATTGTTCAGGTTGTGCTTCGGCTCTGCGTGACTGTGCTGATGAATTTGCTTCTTTCTCATAAAAAAAAAAGAAGGAGATTGTCCTACTGCTCATGAAACACTATCAGGCTTAAGAGAACCAGTTTAGATTGAAAGGATCTCAAGCTGACTAGCTAAGGACATTACTGTAGCTTTAACAGACACGTCACCCTCAGTTCTCGCTACATCCAAAAGCCAAGCCAATGTTGATTCTCGTTTTATTACGAGCACTGTCGCGTTCTCTTTTTGCCACAAGACTTTCATCAACATTTCTTTTAAACAGGTGATTCCCCGTAGGTTGCGAGATTTAGCTGCTCCATGTCAAACTTTTCCGCTCATTGCGACAACTAACCTACGACACTCCCACACCATACACACGTCAAAGTAGCCGAAGCAACTTTTCTTTATTTACGGATATGACAAGATCACACATGGGCAAGTGACGTATTTACACAATTTCCGAGATGGTCCTCACTGCAGAACACGAAATTCAGGGGGAGGAGTTGGATCCAGATCCAACTCCTCCCACTTTACATATACCTAAACCTACCCATCTCCACCCCCTGATCCCTAACCCAACCCTTAATCCTACCCATCTCCACCCCCTGATTCCCAACCCCACCCCTAATCCTACCCATCTCCACCCCTTAGATCTGGATCCAACTCCACCCCCTGGATCTCGTGTACTGCAATGAGGTGCTACTGCAATTTCCTGCGAAAACCCTCCAGACAGGTCTAAAATATAAACACTTATTATAGGCTTACCATAGTGAATCAGGGTAAGACAAAAACATGTTTTGGAAGAAGGATTTATGATGTATTGGCCCATTATTTAAATTGTGTTTATTTTGAATGAAAAAAGTTACATAGTGTACCTTTTAGCAAATACACCACATAACCTATTTAGAATTTTTTGGTTTTATCAGTTTGTTGTACTGTGATACCATATTTGATATCAGGATGACTTTAAATCTGCACTGGAGAATATTATCATAACTGAAAAAGAAGTGTGGACAATGAAGAATTCTCCTGATAGAACAGATGATGGATTTCTCACTTCAAAAACCTACATGGCCATCTTCCAGGTCAGGACTTAAACTTTTCACTTTAGAGGGAGATCAAAAACTTTTATCATTATTATTATAATTTATTACATTTTTATTTATTTAATTTTCACCTCTGGATTTGTCTTGTTAGCTGATAGCGAGTTATGCTGAGAATCTTGAGAAGATCGATGAGAATCTGGGGAAGTCAGTGGTACGCTTTTGCTTAGAGGAGCTAAATCCATTTCATACAAGGTTTGTGTCACAGTATTATTATAGATTAACTTGAAATCACTTCTGCATCTTTCCTTCTCTGACAGTTTCCTTCTCTTTTAGATTCGAAGAAGAGTTTTTGCAACACACCCGCTCTCTGTTGACCTCTGACCTGCTGGACTGCTGTCTATGGGTAGAATATCACATCAGCTACATCAACTGTTTTAATTCACTCAAGTAAGTCCATCATGAAAGGGACACTGCCCTTGTGAAAAAGAGTACTTATTATGGAAATAATATATTTTAAAAGAATATACTTGTTTAGTGTAAACTGAATGTAATGTTTTCAGACACTTCATTGCATGTTAATGGCAATTAAATGCAAATCTATCATAGTTTAAAGAGATATTAAACTTTTGAACTTTAAAGTGTTTTTGACACACTTAAAGGGTTAGTTCACCCAAAAATGAAAATTCTGTCAGTAATTACTCACCCTCATGTTGTTCCAACCCCCCGTAAGACCTTCGTTCATCTTCGGAACACGAATTAAGATATTTTTGATGAAATCTGAGAGCTGGATCACTCCTCCATACTAGTCCATAGGCTTCTTCAGGGATTGAACTTGCTGGCCTCGAAAAGTTACTAAAGACATCGTTAAAATAGTCCAAGTGACTACAGTGGCTCAATCTTAAGTTTATCAAGCGACGAGAATACTTTTTGTGCGCAAAAACAAACAAAAATAACGACTTTATTTCAACTATTCATTTCCTTCCCTTTGGGCCTCTACTCAGTTAACGTAGTGTGATTCCGTAGAGCTACGTCACACGTAGGCTCACTATTGGCCGACGCTGGTCATGTGCGTGATGCGTGTGACGTACAACAACAGAAGCTTACGCTATTACACTAGTGAACTGACTCGAGGCCCACAGAGAAGGAAATGAATAGTTGAAATAAAGTCGTTATTTTTGTTTTTTATAGGTGAGAAACCAAACGCAATTTATTTACAAACAAAAAGAACACAATAAAACATAAAACAAAAATATAGGCGCACATTACTAACGCGCTCTTTAAATAACACATAAAATTTTCCGCCATTGACTTTAGACCAGGTTTTTGTTGGTCAATGGCGCAGTCTATTTCAGTTGCTTCAAAATAGCAACATGCCAACAATGTGCCTGAACACACCTCGTTTTCAGACCTGCACGTGCATAGGGGCATAAATAGGCGCAAATGCATTTGCTATTTTAACAACGCGGTGCAGGACGTAACTGCGGATAACTGCGTCAGGCTGAAACTAGCAAAAAACACTTGCGTCGCGTCTGGCGCTGCATTGCGGCGAGTGTATGATGCTGTAGCAGTTGCAGCGCATTTTCAGATACCCTCCACCTTCCCCAGCTCCACCTGTATAAATCTGCCACGGGCATTTCTTATATGCCATATTGTACAGCAGCAGCATGTCTTACTTGCTCACAGCAGTGTGTCGTGTATTGGCAGTAGGGCTGGGCGATAAAACGATAACGATAATTATCGCGATATAATTTTTCTCGATAAAACGATATCAAGAGGTCGATAAATGTTCGATAATGTTTATGCGCCAAAAGCAGAACGAAACTCATTTGAACCGCGCGCGCCTCGGACTGTTTATCCGCTTGGCTCAAAGTCCAAACGGCAGCGCAGCGCGAGCTCACTAGACTAGAGCAGACGCGTTTACTCTGATCGTCTCGCTCACAAGATCCAGTGAGAAGCGCTTGAGTTCAGCGAAGAACACAAATGTTTAAAGACAGATGAAACACCGCTGACAAACAGGAGAAACAATGCGCGCAACGATACAGTCAGAATCTGAATTGATACTGAATCCATTTAGCCTACCATGGATTTACTGTAAGGTTAGCCTAGTAATATTAACTGCACCATGAAATGTGGAATATACATATTGAATTGTATAATATTATTAATGTAGACAATGTATTAAATGACTAATGGAATATAATTACAGTATTTAATAATGTATTTAACTGTTAGGCTACTGTTTTTCATACAAATAGGCCTATAGAAACCATAAAGTTACATTTTGCCAAGATAGTGAGGTGCTAAGTTATAGGCTATGACTGGTTTTATCTGTGGTTATCATGATCTAAATGCATGATACTGGATGACCAATGGTTTTTAATAAAACTCAAACAGTCAGAATATTACATTTTACCAAATAAAAATGTGGTCGTTACTTTTTTTTTTTTTAAACGGATGTTACTGTTTTTGTTAATGAACATACATTTAACATAGTAGTATTAGCTTGAGTTAGGATGCAGATTTACTGTCAACTCACTGTCAAATATGCATTTCGAGACAAAACATGTCATTTGAATTTTGCAGCATGCACTGCAAACTGTGCTAAAGAAATATTTTTCTATTAAGATATTAATTTTGTTAAGGAAAAATGACAAATGTTTGAATGTTCTACCTCAGATTTGTGAAATGTTCACCTGTTTGGCAAGTGTTTGTCATGATATGTTCTGACAATAAAGAGTAGTTTAAAACCACAATTAACGCTCTGGTTTATGCAACTTTCACTCAGGAGCAAAAATCTGCCTTTAAACTTGAAAGAAATAAAGATTTGACATTTATCGTGATAATTATCGATATCGACTGATATAAAAAAAATATCGTGATAATTTTTTTGGGCCATATCGCCCAGCCCTATTTGGCAGTAGCAAGTCCTGTATTTGCTCTGTAGCAGCAGCAGCGTATAGCAGATCTATTCCGCTTAGACCAAACATATCAACACTGTCATATCCATTACCAATGCAAACACTCTGAGGGCCCTATTTTAACGATCTGAAACGCAAGTGTCAAAGCGCAAGTAACTTTGTGGGCGGATCCCGGCGCTGTTGCTATTTTCCCGGCGGGATAAATGCCTCTTGCGCCTGGCGCAAATCTAAAAGAGGTTGGTCTGAAGTAGCTTCATTATTCATAGGTGTGGTTTGGGCGTAACGTGGAATAAACCAATCAGAGCGTCATCTCACATTCCCTTTAAGAGCAGGTGCGCATGTTGCATGGCGGATTGCTATTATAACGGCGGATTTACCAGGCGCGCGTCAGGAGCGGTTCACAGCCGAGGAGACCGACGTTCTTGTCAGGACCGTGAAAGACAGAGAAGTGACGATGTATTGCGTGTTTTGCGTGCACCTGTAAACTATGGCATAAACCCTCATGCAGTAACACCCTCAGACGGCACTGTTTATTGACTGTCTGAAGTAGAATGCATGCAGAAATAACAAGAAATTCAACGTTCAAATCAGACTTATCTATCTATTTATCTATCTATCTATCTATCTATCTATCTATCTATCTATCTATCTATCTATCTATCTATCTATCTATCTATCTATCGTGGGTGGGTTTCTCCCATCCCCATACAAATCAGAGTCGGTTAAACAGGCGTGGGAGGAAAAAAACTAAATTTTCATGGACACCACAATGATTTCCCTCATGTGTTAATATTTTTCCTTGTTATAATGTATGATTTGCAAAAATAAAAACTGCTGCATCTGTGTTGATGAGAGAATCAAAGTGTATGCGCGTTGTGCACCCGCTACATTATGGCCAAGCATGCGCGCTTAAAATAGCATAATGAACAACGCGCAACGCGCCACTGACTTTAGACTAGTTTTTTTCTGGTCAGTGGCGCAATTGTTTTATAGAACAGCAAAATAGCATGAGGGAAAGTTTGCGCCGGAACACGCCTCCTCTTTGCGCTGAACCGCCCCGGGGAGCGCAAGTGTATTTCTTAGTTAACCGATGTGTGTCTGTGGAGGGAAAAGTCCGCTTTGCGCGGGTGCAAAATAGGAATGATACATGCGTCAGTGTACAAAGTCATTTGCGCCGGGTGCAAGATAGAGCCCTGAGAGTTGTCATGACAGAAATCTGTTTAATCTCAATCTTCTGTGAGTCCCTGTCCCTGTCAGTCCTTTGAGACATGCATGTCAAAGGTTTTTTATTTTTTATGTCATGGCTTTTGTTACAGAGAGAATATGCAGTTTTATAGGGAGAACTTCTCAACTCAGGTGGAGCAGCTGGAGAAAGATGCGGATGGACTGATTCAAAGACTTACCCAGACCCTGATAAAACATTTCAAAACTGATATCAAGGTGGGCCTTACCGCAGATATATACATATAAAAAATACCCAACTTGTTATTTTAAATTACTCATAATCTAAAATTATACCTAGTAAAGAGCATATTACACATTATTTTTTATAGTTGAAGATTACAATATTACTAACTACAATGCAATTTTCCCCAAAGCCTTACATGGATGGTATGATGACAAAAAAATGGCTGAAAACAAATGGAGATTTTAAAGAAGTTACTTGTAGAATAGATAATTATCGTGGGCTCTGTAAATCTATGAGAGCTCCATCAGCTCAAGTGAGTTCTGTCATCTACTCAGAGATTCTCTCTAATGGCTACAGAGCACCACTTTTAACACAGTGTCTGTATTTGCAGGTTTTCGTAAATGATGTGCACTATTATGTAGCCAGAGAATATGTATCCCAGCTGATGAAGAAAAAATACTCATGCAAAAAAACCAAGAGCGAAGATGCTGCTGTAAAACTGAGAGAACAATGGAATGAACTCAAGAAACTATTTGAGGACATGGTAAGATCCAGTCAAGCATTAAATAGTTTGGAATATACAAATGGATTTTTCATGCACTGACAATATTATTCTGTACACAGGGATCATCCTTAAACTGGCTTTATCCGTTGGGAGATTACCTTAGTGACATTATTGGAATGGAAAATGAGAGAAAGATAAAAGATCTGTTAATTCCATTAGTTAGTAATTACCCAGACATCAGGTAAGTGTTATAATAACTTTGAATATGCTACTATTTTAAAACAATACATTGTTTTGTTCACTTGTTTGATTACATGTAAGTAACCTCTCACTTAATTCTCCCTTACTGTCCATTCTCGTCTTTAGCAAGAAGCAGTTGTCAGCTGTTCTGTACTTCCGAGACAACGGTTTTAGCTTGGAGAGGCACAATGTTATTAATCAGTTTACTGTGCTTAAACGGGATGCTGGGAACACAAATCATGATCGCTCCTTCTTCACTGACACTGAAGTACTTTCCTGAAATACAATATTTGTAGATGTGCAATACATTATTTGTTGCACTAAATTATCAGATAACAGAATATAACTAAATATTTTGTGTTTAATTTGAATTAATTAATAAAGCAATATAATTGATAAAGATGACAAACATGTATTTTCACGAAGTAACACACCTTTATCTTTTACAGTGAGATTACTTTTGGCCATTCTGGACCTTCAATTGCATTACTTTTGATAATTTTGTTCAAAACCTGTACAGTACATTTTATGGTAATACTTTACAATAAGGTTCATTAGTTAACTACATTAGTTAACATTAACTAAGATTAATCACATGCGCTCTCTCTGAACTGCCAAAAAAAAAAAACACTCATGATCTGAAAACACAGACAAACCAATATGTTAGAGTGTATTAATCTCCATTACCATATTCTGCTGAAATGAAATTGTAAGTCTGTGTTCCTTCACAAGGCTGCATGTGCTGTTTGCTCCAATACTAAATCTGCATGCTAACTTTATCGGGAATGAATTGTAATAAATCCAAACATGAATCTCAACTATGTGGTTTGCGTTTGCTGAATATGTAACCTCTGTGCTTTTTTGTTCAATGTTTAAAAACTTGAACATAATCTGGAATTACAGAATCAGGAAACTATGAAGTAAAATAAACAACAACAAAAAACTCTGCATATGAGTTGACATTCTCTTGACTTGTACTTACAGGAAAGTGCAATGATTCTGCCGAAATGTATAAAGAAATGTCTCAAATTAGACCAATTATTTTGTTAATGGATTTGAGCAAAATTATTGTGTTTAGCAGTTTTTTGTTCAGCCCGAATTTGGTGTTTTGGTTGTTTGTCCTTATACTTGCCAATAGAGGGAGACATTTAACTATAAACAAACGATTAGCATTTTCTCCATATTGTGTAATAATCATTCAAAAAGAGACTTGATGGACTCAGTCTGTTTATCTACTGTGATATCAATCATGAAAATGTGATGTGTAAAACATATACTGTCGGATAAAACCGATTGTGTGCTGCACAATATTTACTCCATGGACCCAGCTCTTGGGGAAAAAATGCTATTGGTTGGTAAGTCATATTTAGTTATTCTCCCTTCTCTTGTTTAATGCTAATTTTAACCCTATTTTTAGCCTAAGCCTAATATTTTCTGTTCAGTGAACAAAACATGAAGATAAAAAATAAATTCCCCCTGTAACTACAGTGTGTTATTGAAAGGATTTTTTTCAATTGCTGTCTGTACTTTTGTAATGACCATGTATAATATATCTTTCCACATGCAAATAGTATATTTGTGTGCCTGCATGAGAGAGTGTGTTATTTCAGGACAGGCTGGCTTGTGTCCAGATGTCCTGAGGATTACAATCTTATCTACAGTCTGTAGAGTTAGATGTGATGAAATGGGAGGGGATTGTAAAGATATTTGTAGTTCAGAGATTGAATGCCATAGGTCTCTGGCTCATCCATAAGTCCTTTTCATCATAAATGACACTTTGCTCACATTCCCTCACCTCCACATAAGCATCTCTTCACTTCCTACAAATCCATAATCCCTCTTTTTCTTCAACTTGCCCTATTAACGTGTTCATAGGTCTGAATATTTACCTTTTTCTCCTCTCTTTTAAGAGGATACAGCTTATTCAAATTTCTTCTGGCTGATTTGTATACAGAAACCAGAGGCAGCAGATGACTCCCTGGTGTCATGTCATTGTGAAGGTGTGTGTGTGTGTGTGTGTGTGTGTGTGTGTGTGTGTGTGTGTGTGTGTGTGTGTGTGTGTGTGTGTGTGTGTGTGTGTGTGTGTGTGTGTGTGTGTGTGTGTGTGTGTGAAAATACATGTCAGCGTTGCATGGTCTCTGGTGTTCAGTAAGTATTATATTTAGCTCACCCTATGTCAGAAGTTTTCAAGCACTCTCTCTTACCCTGCCTCACCTTATCGTTCGGAGCAGTTGTCACGCTAAGATACAGTGAACATGCATGTAATCAACACATCAGTCATGATAAATGCTATCAGGTTTAATGAAAGCCTCATGAGGTTGCCCAGACCCACTTTATATCACTCTTGATCATTGGAGGGTTAACGAGGCTAACATTAAAGTTGCAGGATATTGAGGACATTGAGTGGATGGGAAAAAAGACTGTTACACTTTATTTTAAAAGGCCCACTGAAGTGGCTTGGAACATGCAGCATTATTCAATGTGTTGACGTAATTTCCACCGAAACAGGTAGACAGGGCGGGACATTTCAAACAGCTCCTCCCCTTTTTAAAATAGCCAATAGCGGTAAAGCCACAGTTTCCTCCTAATCTCTAACCGACCGTTCTCTTACGAGAGGTTCTCTCGTATTGCGTAAGCTAGCTTACGCTGCGGAAAGATTCATCTTTGCTGAGATATTGAAGCCAAAAAATTATTTCATAATTTGTATCCATTCACAACGCAGTTCCTCTGCGGCAGACCTAGAGCAGGCTAGCTAGCAGCTCATTGGTTCGCTCAGAGAGAACTGCTTAAGCCTATGGGAGAGCGGGGCTGAACCCGCTGCCAATGAGAGGCGCCCGCGCACTCATTGCGTCATGGCCCGCCAGAATGGGCGTGGCTATGGTGTATATAACAGTCTCTCCCAGGCTTATATGTTGATTCATTTCATCTTCAGCAAGCTGCACGCTTCTGCTGTCCTGAGAAAAGCCGTCGCCGTCGAGAAGGCATCACTCTAGCGAGCTCCCGGACCCCGAAGAAGCCGGCCGTCTTCGCCACCTTCAGCCGCCCTGCAAGCTAGCGCCATCCGACGACTGTATCCTTCTCTTTTCTCTATTTATATCTAAAAGAGCCGAGCGTCTTTTTAAAGATGTCTCGTTTTTCCTGCGGCTCTTGCCGCGCTCGTCTCGAGGACGGAGACCGCCATGTCATCTGCGCTCTCTGCCTGGGACTCGAGCACGCAGAACTCGCCCTCGCTGATGGAGGATGCGACTTCTGTGAGAGCCTGCCGTTGTCGTCCCTGCGGGCACGACTTCTGGCAGCAAAATCCGCTCCCGCGCCGCCTCCCTCTTCGCCGCGTAAGAAGAAACGCCGCTCCCAGAGGCCGCCGGAGCCCCCAGCGGAACCATGCGGGCCGCCGCCGCCGCTTCCCGCTTCCCGCTCTCCCTCCCCGCCCCAGCCGGACATACAGTTGCCGCCGAGTGGCCGCTCTGTCGCTTCCGATGACGCCGCGGAGGAGAAGGACTCCTGTTCACTGCTCGCATCAGACAGTGAAGAATGGTCATCTCTCGGATCCATGAGAGAGTCGGCGGGGATCCGCGCCGGGATAGAGGAGGAACTAATGCGCCTCCTCTCACAGGCCGTCGAACGCCTCGGTCTCAAGTGGTCTCCTCCACCCGAGCAGGCCCCGAACCGGATGGACGGCAGCTTTTTTCATCGGCGCTCGACCCCCGCGTGCAACCGGGCCGCCCCATTCCTGCCTGAACTTCACGCAGAGCTGACGAAGTCCTGGAATGCCCCGCTCTTGGCTAGAAACCGCTCTGATATATCCGCCTCGCTGCCTCGGTGGACGGAGCCGCCGAAAAAGGTTACTCAGCCATGCCGCCCGTCGAGGACTTGGTCGCCGCACACCTCTGCCCGCCCTCTGCTAGATGGCGCTCTTCCCCCACGCTTCCTTCGAAAGCTTGCAGAGCGACCTCGAGCTTTCATGCTCGCGCCTACGCCGCCGCCGGTCAGGCCGCCGCAGCGCTACATTCTATGTCTGTCCTCCAAGTATTACAGAGCGATATTCTCCGTGAGTGGGCCGAAGGCGGTAGAAACCCCTCCCCCGCTGTCACGGATCTGAGAAGTGCTACGGACCTCGCCCTTCGCGCCACTAAAGCCGCCGCACAAGCTCTGGGGAGATGCATGGCCAGCCTTTGTGTTGCCGAGAGACACTTATGGCTCACGCTCGCCGACATGGGAGACTCTGAGCGCGCCGCGTTTCTTAACGCGCCCCTCTCCCCGACGGGCCTTTTTGGATCTGCTGTCACGGGAATCGTCGATCGCTTTTCTGAGGTCCAGAAAGCTACTCAGGCGATGAATTTGTTTCTGCCCCGCCGCGCTAGCTCTTCCGCGGGCCACTCTCGCGAGCCTCCTGCCAGAGCTCCACCACAGCGCCCCCCTCCGCAGACTCAAACAGCCCAGCGCAGACAGGGCGGCCGCCCTTGCTCTCGCTCTGACAGCCGCCGCAGACCGCCGCCCCCACGAGGCCCGCGACCTAAGATCACGCTGAAGCCTGATCATCAGAAGTCTGCCTAGCAAAGTCAAGAACTCGACGGCGCTCTCCCGCTGCGGCCGGACCGCCGTCAAAGCTTCGCCCTCTGCCAGTCCCCGTTATTTCGCCGACTGCTGTAGTGTTGACCGCCACAAACAAGCCGGTGTCCCAGCCCGCTTGCGAGCGACAAAAAGCCGTTTTTACGGCTACCCAGAGAAATCTCAAAAAGAGAAAATTTGCCAGTTGTGTAGAAAATGTGCCCACAATCATGTGCTCACCCATACACACAAGCATAACATATCCCGTGTCTCTATCAGAGCCCCATCACATGAAACGGGCACAGCCCGCTCTAATATCAGAGAACATAAACACGCCCACGAGCTCGTGTGCGTGTCCCCTCTCTGCTCGCTCTGTTTCACGGCCCATAGACTCCTCTCTGAGTGCAAATCCCGTTGCCACACACATTCAAAGCGCGCCCACACACTGTGTCCAGCCCGCTATGTGCAGCAATCAGGGCGATATAGCCATTCGGCCACTAGCCGCATGCTCCAAAGCGTGGGAAGCCATTCCAGGCATTTCCCCGTGGGTTCTAAGCATTATAAAGAACGGCTATCTGCTACAGTTTCGCCGCCGCCCACTATATTGGCTCTCCAACGAGATTCAAACTTCCAACAATCAATTTCCCCAAATTTGGAACCAAAACATCAAAGGACACAGTGGACATTCCTACAGCAAATGTGGACATCAATGAAGTTAGCCTACCCGATAAGACGTTTAACATGTCAGGAGAAGTAGCAAGTGTTGACATGAAAGAGCCAACAGAAAATGTTGAAGATCCATCTATTGAGATGAACATTAAAAGCAAA